TTTCTTTGTTGGTTACCAGGGATGGGAGGGGAGGGGAGAGAATGCTGTTAGACAGAGATAAGTATTGATTTGAGTGAAGAGAACGGCAATGTACCAAATGTGAGTGACCAGTATGGCAGCACTGAGGAAGAGAAAGACAGAGAGATGTACATGGGAGGTACAGACAACAAAGATGAACCCTTTTGCACATATAGTACTGTGTTGCCAGTGAAGGCAAACATGGGTATATGGGTGGATAGATGAGTGGACAGGCTGAACTATTAGGTATGTCTATGAAATGCAGTGTGTTTCCAAGAACATGTATAGGGTTGGCAGACAGTGGTCCTATAAGTCTATGTGAATGATCAGAATTCCCAGGTGTATAGTAGAGGTGACAAGGTCAAGGTTGTGGTCACTGCTTTGTCACAGCCAGCTACCCAGAGGGACCGAGTAGTTGAACCTGTGGGCTTGGGACCATAGTTGCGGGGGACATCAAGCTCAATTGGCATAACATACTATACAAAACATTGTTCCAACTTCTACTTCGGTGAGTAGCAACTGGGATCTTGACAGCTAGCAAGCTGCCATCTAGGTGCAACCATGGGTCTCTCCTCGTCCAGAGCAAAGAAGAATGAAGAAAACCAAAATTCACGGAAACAATTAGTCCTAGCGACTGGTACACCATCTGATCTTCAGGCTATATGACTCTGAGACCAGAAGAACTAGATGGTGCCTGTCTACCACTGTCATCCACTTGGAAGGGGATCTATGTAGGAGATCCTTCATAGAGAGGGAGAACAATGTGGAACAAAAGTTAAAATCACTTGGAGAAAAAAAAAAGTGGGGGGGTACCAGGTTTGCTGGTCCGATAGAGCCTGGTGGAACCACTCAGACTGTGGCCTCTAGCTGCCCTTCAGGTCTGGAATTGAACCCACACCTGTGGTTTCTAGCCAAACAAAAGACAGGCATATGAGTATTTACCCGAAGTAGATACACTCCTAGGAGAGAACAGTCATGGGAGAAAGAAGGGCTACTTATGCACAGGAAGACAACTTGGGGCAGGAGTACGTGGAGGGATGGACACTGAGAAGAGATAACTATGGGGAGGAAGTGGGAGGGGAGCTGTTGCATTGTGGTCAATTGTAGTCAATGTCATGAGACAAAGTGTATGTGAACTACTGTATGGAAAGTGAATTTGCTGTGTAAATCTTCACCCAAATCACAATAAAAATTAAAAAAAGGATTTATGCTAAACTTTGCATACACTTACCATCACAAATTTCTTGCTCCCTCATAAACAGAATCTATTTGAATTTAAATTCTTTAAAGAGCACTGTATGAGATAAACCTTTTTGAAAAATAAGCATTTAGGTTTATGTCATATATATTTATTTTGTAAAATGTCTTCCTTCTTAGATTTACTCCTGATGGGAAGTACTTGATTGTAGCCCAGTTGAATCTTAGCCGACTCTCACTTCTGGCAGCACCCCCAGTAGGAAGCATCGGCAGCTGTTCTGTGGTCAGCACAATCCAACTTGCAGATCTAGTTTTACCTCATCTGTTAGATGTGGATAGGAAGACCGGAGCAATCTACGTAGCAGAAATTGGAGCCAAACAAGTACAAAAATATGTCCCTTTGAATAGTTATTTTCCTTTACATGGTTCATAATTTTTCTTTTCCTAGAGTTTTTCCAAGTGGAAGTTCAGTTTCTGAAATTCATCATTTAAATGCTCAGAAATGATGTTGCAATACAAGAATACATTTCTTTATTTTACCAGATTTAGTATTAGATTTATTTTTTATAAAATAATGGATCAAGATTTGTTGCTGTCCTTGAGAATTAATGTTACTGCTAAGTGCATAAAAGTATTTTAATGGAATAAATATAATTCTGTTGTTGTTGTTGTTATGTGCCGTCAAGTCAAACCCGACTCATAGCGACCCCTCCTTGGGTTTTCGAGGCAGTATCACTACGGAAGTAGGATTGCCCAACCTTCCTTCTGAGGAGTGGAAATACAATTCTAGGAAAGCAGAATTAGAAAGAAGGACTAAGGCTGTGACTTATTTTCCCTGCTAGACTAATTCTCCCTAGAAAACATGGGAATAAAAATAGATTTGGAGGATATTTTATTCAATTTCATGTGAAGTATTACAAATCTGTCAAAGTTTGATTAGGAGCTCTGGTTGTATAGTGCCTAAGGCATTTGACTGCTAACCAGAAGGCTGGCAGTTCAAACCCACCAGTCACTGCATGTAAAATAAACGGCTTGAGAGATTATGAGTCACATATGCTGATTATTAATTTATATACCCACAAAGTGCTAGATCCTGAAGATTAATAAATAAAAAGGCAAGGCTTCTCTGCCTTTTGACCAGCTTGTAGTACAGTGGGGAGAAAAAGTTATAAGCTTGCTGTGAACTTTGATAGGTTTTTATTAAAGCCCAACTTATTTTGTCCCTTACCTGTAAGATAATATCAGTCTTTAAATGTAGCAATAAAATGACATCTATGCACTTTACTCAAAGGGATTTTTATGAATAACCAGAATGTTTTTTATAGATAGCACTAAATATAAGGCCTTTCTTCAGTGTTTCTTTGTTTCTTTTTTTCTTTTTTTTTATGTGAACTCATTCATTCATAACGTTTACCTACCTCAGAAAAGGTTCAGGATAATTATTTATGTGGAAATTTGTACAGAACACTTAGATATTGACGTGATAATTTCCTGTACTATTTCTATCTTTTTTTCCTCTTGGTCTGAATACTGGTTTGCCAATTAAGACAGTTTTTCAATCTATACTAGTTTATTATAGATTTTCATGGAAAATTGCCATATTATGATTTTGAAATCATTCTTTTGTCTTTCATAGCATCTGCCTCCCTTCTTACTCCACTTTACTGTAAAGTGAGCTGATTTTCCTTGTCACCCATTATAGTTGGAGTCTTTTCCAGACTTAGAGAACTCATTCTTGTTTTAATGCTTGGGTCATAAGGTCATATCTTCATTTGATTAAGAAGGCATATCTGTCAAAGGGAAATCCTATCCTGTGTTCCAAGCCATTTATAAAGGCTTGTGCTGGTGATCAAGTTGTATGATACTGCCTATTACCTCTAGGTTTTAATTTTCTCTTCAATAAAATGGGAGCATCATTTTCCTTCTTCACAAATGCTATAGGGATCAGATGTTCAAACATGCCCTTTGAAATATAAAGCTACAAGTACCTTAAATATAGTTGATTAACCAATGTCCTATTAAATGTACTATTTACCTGATTCTAGCTATCAGGTTTGATTTAATTTCCTTTATCAAAACATATCCTCACAAACTGTACAAAACCAAACAAACCAAACTCACTGCTTGTGGAGTCATACCCAACTCATAGCAACCCCTCTTTGAGTTTCCGAGGCGGTATCACTACAGAAGTAAATTGCCCAACCATCCTTCTGAGGAGCAGCTGGTGGGTTTGAACTGCCAGCTTTCTGGTTAGCAGTCAAATGCCTTAGTCACTATGCCACCACAGATCCCGCCTAAACTTTATACAGTTTAGCTAATACAGGAAATTTATTTTTGTGAAGGAGAATAATTAAAGTTACTTGTTTTGCTTTTAAGCCAAGATGACAAAGGGAAATGTCTCTTTGAAGGAATGCAGGTTAGGTAAACTGAGTTTACCATCTCTAAAATGTTTTATTTAACTAGTTTGTACCAGATTTTTATAACATTCACTGAAAACATTGTTCTATATATTACCAAAAGTGTTCATTACTCATTGTATTGTAATCATATTTTTACTTTTTTCCCATTGGATTGTTTGATTAAATGAATGAGAAATAAGTTTTTTTTTTCTGTTTAAATATACAAATTAAAATTTTGGAAAGAAAGACGATATTATCTGGCTACCTTATTTCACCAATATGGCTACCCCTGCTCTCTTTTGGTTACTTTTTGCATATTCTTTTCCATCCCTTTACTTTTGATCTGTTTGTGTCCTTGACCCTAAAATGTGTCTCTTGTGGACGGAATGTGGATGGGTCATATTTTCTTATCCATCCTGCCATTCTCTGACTTTCAATGGGAGGGTTTAATTCATTTATGTGACAGTAATTTTTGATACAGGAGGATTTTACTTCTGCCATTTTATTATACATTATTTAGTGAGACTTAGGGTTATTTGTTTCTGTTTTCTTCCATGCTGAGTTCCTTTATCAGTAGCTTTTGTCTCTCCTTTATTTATTAATTTTTTGTAGGTGCTGAGCTATTTTGTTTCCCTTCTTTATTTTGGCATACAAATTTCTTTTTCACTGTCTTTCTAGTTACCATTAGGTAATTTCATCTTTAAAACTACCTGTTGTATCTTGATACCAACTAAATTCCTTACAGTCTACAGCTGTACACCAGTCCCCCATCCTTTTATATGCATGTCATCACCAATTACATCTTTTGTCTTGTCTTCCTGAAATCTTAATTCTATTTTATTGTTACATATGTTTAGTTTTTCCCGCCTATAATGTTTTCAATGTAAAGAATGAAGAGCATGCCTGCTATATTTACCAACCAGAGATACATTATGTCTAGTTTTTATTTTATCAGTGCTTTTCTTTTACTGGGACAGCAGGAACTTTTTCTAAGACTGGGGCCCTACACCAAGTTGCGTTTTGAGACAGCAGGAGCTTTACCTGGAACCAGATGCTCTGCCCAGAGGTGCTTTTTGGGCTGGCAGGAACTCCCTCTTGAATGAGGCACCTTTTTCTCCATTGCCTTTTGGAATGGCAGTAACTTCTTCTGGGTCCAGGCATCTTGCCCTCAGAGGCCTTCTTGGCAGGAGCTTGTCTAGAACAGGTGCCCTGCCTCCAGTTGTATTCTGGGTAGACAAGAACTGATTCTGAGTCAGCCGCCCTGCTCCTTTTGGACTGACAGGAACTTATTCTGTGGCCAGGCATACCATACCCAGCTGCCTTTTAGGATGGCAGGAAGTTTTTCTGGGAGCAGGGGCTGTGTACATGCACACTTATTGGGCCAGCAGGAATTTCTTCTGAAACCAGGCATCTTGCTCCCAGGTACTATTTGGGCTGGCAGGAACTTTTTGTGAGACCAGGCACCATTGCTGCAGGTATTTTCTGGTTTCAGCAGGAACTCATCTGGGATCAGGCATCCTGCTTCCACTTGCTTTTTGGGTAGGTAGGAATTAGTGCCAGGACGAGGTACCCTGCTCCCTGCCACCTGCTTGACCAGCAGGAATAACACTCAGGTACCCTGTCCTTCCACCCCCTCCAGTTTTCTTTCTTTGTCTTATTTTTTTTATTATTATTATTTCTTTCTTTCCTCCTTTTTTCTTTTTTTTTTTTTCTTCTCTGGTTCTCCCCCCTCCTTTTCCTGGTTCCTTTTTATTTTCTTCCCATTCTTCTTTTTCTCTTTTGTTTTTCATATCCTTTATTTTTGTTTTTGCATTTTTCTAATTTTTCTCTACTATTCTTTTTCTATTGCTCTTTCTTCTTTTTTCCCCATCCCTACATTTTGGTTTTGTTTTTTATTTATTTTTCTCTTTGTCTTCTTTTTGTCATTTTTTTTTCCCTCTTTCTTTTCATTTGTTTTTATTCTTCCTCTTGCTGCTGTTTGTGTTTTTCTCCTGTTTTTATTTTTTTTTAGTGGTGGTGTTTGTTTGTTTTGTTTTGTTTTTCTCCCACCTGGTGGAAGACAGCAGCCATGCCCATGACACCACCTAAACACATCTCCACCTCCAACCCTGCCCACTGGGTGAGGGCAACACCTGTTTCTGCACCAATGATTAAAGATAGATGGCAGCTAATACCAGTTCAACTACTATCAACTGCTCTACCCAGACAGCTAGCAGAGATCTGTGCACACATTCTCATCCTCTATCACACCCATTAAGAGACAGATGGTGAGTGCCTAAGTGCTGCCAAACTTATAAATAGAGTAGCACACCAGCTCCACTTGTGTGAATATATGAAAAGAAAGCAAAAAAAAGGAAAAAAACCTGGGCAAGTCACACCAACATACAATCGTCAATTAAATATAAATTCAATGACATATGACAGACATTACAATATGTCAGAGCCAACTAATCCTATTTCACACAAACATGCAAGATAAGGTAGTATGAATAAGGGACCAGAATACAGAAAACTTCCCTGAAGAAGTGGCACTGGAGCTACCTGATAAAGAATTCAAAACAATTATAAATAAGCACCTTCAAATGTTTGAGAGACGAATCAAGGACAACATTGACAAAATTAAGGAAAACAGGAAAAACTAGAAGAATTTAGGGAGACAACAGAAGAACAAACTGACAAAAAATTACTAGAAAAAAATTACTAGAAACCATACCAAAACAGCAAATAGAAATCTAGATTTCTATAAAGATTTCAGAAATAGAAAACACATTGAAATGGCAAAGGAGTAGAATTGAATCAATGGGACACAGAATTAGTGTGATTTAACACAAATCTCTCAGTACTACTTGAGTGAACAATCAAAAATGGAAAGAGAGAAAAAAAAAAAAAAAGCCTAAGATTTATGTGGGACACTATCAAGATAAATAAATGCGATCAGAATTCCAGAGCAGTAAAAGATAAAACCACAAAGAAAATTAATTTGTTAGAAGAGAACTTACCTAATATAGTGAAAGACAAGTAGATACACATCCAA